CCCCCGATGTTTCGCGAAACTCAAGTGGAAAACATCAACGTATACGACGACCTGTATTTTATCTACAAATATATCGTCAAGCGCGAGACGGGCGATATATTGCTGCGCGTAAGAGCTTCGCATTTTCATGTTGCAATTAATAGTGCGTGTTGATTCTTGTACCCATTATATAAATCGTTTATTTGACAAGAAGTGAACGCAAATTTGCTTTGGGGGAGAGTGCACTAAAGGGTAAAGGAGAGGAAGAAAAATGTATTATTCTTTCCCGTGATTTTAAATATTGCAAACTGAAACAAACGTACATAATTAAATATCAAACTTGAACGGGGTAGGTAGAAAAACTTAACACGACCCCGCCCTCCGGCATTTACTAATTATAAATACGTTCTACGTAGCTACGAATCGCGTACGAGAAACTTTCTAACACAAATGTTTCGAAGATTACCGTTTGGAATAAATAAAAGCTTTTATTCGCGATTAAAAAGATAAGTCTGTCCATTTTCTCACACAAGAGAAGAAAATTCTGTTGGATTTTTTAAAAGTAAACGCGGATACGCTATTCCTAAAAAAATAAAGTCGATTTGAGAGAGAAATTAATTAAAATAGAAGATTTAATTATTAATTCGCTTTTTCATAAAGGCTAATTCATTGAAATTCAATATAATTTAATCTCTCTACGGATCAAAAGCTATTTCTCAATAGTTATATTTAGGAAAACCATAGTTTTTGAGAGCCGCGAGTATATATTATGCACACAAATCACATTACATAAATATCATTTTCCATCTACCATTCCACTTTGCTCGAAACTTATTCAATTTCTTTGCTCAGATGCTCAAAGAACCTTTTGGTGTACTTTTCGCCGATTCGTTCCTCGAAGGCAGCACGAAGTTCAAAAAATCAAAGGCACGAAAGCGCGAATGGTTCCTTCAAAGCCCGGCGCGAAGGCGGTGTAAATTAATTACGACAGAACGGAAGATACATCCTGACAGCGCTGTTAAGTTGACTATGCGCGTGCAAGGATAAGATGCTCCCCTATAAAAAATTTTCAGCCATCATGTTGCCTATGCGCGCTTTTGTTGGCCTCTTCTTCTTTTCCCGCTACATAAAAGCTACGTCCCAGTGATAAGAAGTTCCCACGGGAGTGTCGGTAGAGGAGTAAACTTGTATTATGCGAAAGAGACTCGTAAGATCCCTCGGGGAACACCCTTTCTCACTGCTTACGACATCGTCCTTCTGTCCGGCTTATGTCGTCCTCATGTTCACAACGCGCAAAGACCGTTGATAGGTTCACGAATTTTTTATGAGGCAGTTTTGCACTCCGAAATGTCGTGTTGCATTATCGAGTACACGTGTCATCTCTGACGCCTGTTATTATAAATACCATTGAAATTATTAAATATTGCTTTATCGCGACCGTTCGATTTTTAAAAATAGCGCTTCGTTGATTTTATTGATCATGTTGCTTTTTGTTGCGGAAAACATTTTTCCACTCAGCGTATTTTCAAATTTTAATTATATGGCTGCTTTTATTTTCTGCCCCAGTCAGAATATTATTTATTTATGAATAATATAATAAATATTCTAATTATTTAAATTTAAGTAATAATGAGCCAAAAAATATATATGCTTAATGGTGTAATTATATATTTATAATTTTTATTTTGTCATTAAGAAATAAGTTTAATATGGAGGATTAAATCAATTGAAAATACGCGTGAAGATCTCTTGACATATAAATAATTAATATAAATATCTACATGAGAAAGATTTCGAAAGATCAACAATTTAATATTTCACAACGATTCCAAATTCTTTTTTATGTTAGGTACTCGTCTTTTTCTCTTTTGATTCATACATGACATTTTATGTCGGCGTGTAACCCAATGCATCCTTTCGTTGGATATGTAATTTCCAGAAAAGCCTCAGGCTCCCTTTTTCACTTTAACATGGGAATCCAAAAGGTATAAATAAATATAGAGGAAAAAGCTTATATATATATAATTTTTTACGTTTCTATAAAAAAATACATACATACGTTAAATCCTAATTTTAATTTTTTGCCATATAACGATTTAAATATGTATACAAAAGTTCAAATAAAATAAACTGCATAGCGGAAACTTTTCTTTTTTTTTTTTTGCTATTATTACGTCAGACTTTTTGTTATCAAAATAGATAAGCTTTAAAAGATTCACCATCCTAACACTCCGTGTTTTTCGGCTTTTATCTCAATTTACAGAATTTAATAGCAAAGTAACAGCTTAGCTTTATCTTCTACGTCCCGACAAGGAAATTCGTCGGATATTTATTTTGCGCTTCGTCGGATGGAGCATTATGTTCCTCGTCTCGTGCAAACGAGACAATAAAATGTATCACGTTTATTCCTTATGATGAAAGCACACCGCGTCCTTCGAGTCGTTTAATTTTACTTTGACATTAGCGTTTTATTTCGACATCCGGCAACGTCTTCCGGTGGCCGCTGTAAAAGTGGTCGTCGTCGTAAATTACGAGGATATTCCGGCGACATTTGGTTATTGCGGCTATATCTCTTCCGCTTGTACGTTAATGGAATTAAACTCGGGAACAGTCGGGCGAGACCAAAGTTCGAGAACGAGTTTCGAGTTTGAAGTGATACTCGTTAACTCGAGCCCTTTATGGCCGTTTCTCGAGCTAGTTTATGTTCTGATTTCGAGATCGGAAATGCGGAGATCCATCCGCGAAGGATAGCGATATATCCTGCTATAAAGATTCTTTTACGCGAAACGCCATACAAAGTTGTTTCTTTACCTTTAATACGCTGCTTCAAATTTATTGCGTCACGAGGTAAACATTAATTCTGATTCGCAATTTTTTTTGAAGCTCTTAAATATAATTTAAATTTTTATTTGCGTTATTTAATCTTTTTTTATTTGTCTATTAATTTTTTTATTCAAGACGCTGTAGCTTTGTAAAAATCACACAACTGCGATTATATTCTTACAACTACAAGACTGATATATAATATTTCCAGTTCTGAGTTCGAAGAATATCGACTGATTACACAAGTGTCAAGGTGTAATTTTCCATTCGTACGTATGTCGTCTCTTTTGCTTTGAAAACGATTCAGTCCGCCTTTGTCAATCGATCTTGGTTATAATTGTCACTGACACCGAAGGCAAATGTGCTGATATGTCACTGCTGCACGAATGAATCTTTATATATAGCTCGGCATTCACGATGTCGTTTTGCCGGAAGTAATATCGGTCGAATGATGATACCAATTTCATCATTTCGCATCGGACCGAATACACCACTTTGCCTTCCGCCATTGCCATAATCGATATCGTATATAACTCCTGCATAATCCGCGACTAACTGTGCATAGGTTGGTCCGCGCGGAGCAAACCGCATACGGTGACTTCCGGCGAATGCAACCGCGTTCGCTCCATTAGGTCGCCTGATATAAATTTTAATGCCCGATGGTCGATCTAAAGCATTTATTATATATATGTATATATATATATATATATATATATATATATATGTATGAAGGATTGTAATAATATATTGAAAGTATGATTTTTAATAAATTTGAAATTAATGTCTTTTTTTTGACTAATCAAATTTAATTTTTAGACATTTTTGAAATTTATAATTAAATTATTCGTATTAAAAAAATTTTACTTTTGTTTTTAAATTTACTTATTACTTTTCAGGCATAATATTTCATTTAATTTTGAAAATTCTATAAAAATATGACACACTATACTCAACAAATAAAGATATTAAAATCCTTTATTTCCTTGAGTCCTTTATTTAATTGAAATTATTCTCCAATTTTTTTTCTACAGCCTTTCTGGCATTGTTATATGTTTTAAAATATAAAATGATTATAAAAACAAGAATTAATTACGAATGTATGTAAATCTTGTATGCGTAAATTAAATATCTGTATATCAATTACCGCAGCTACACACATTAACGTATGAAATATAAATAAAAACAAGTTCCATTCTTGGTAATTAATATGTTACACAATGGTGCCTTGTTAGATATCGATCAATGTTTGATAATTAACTGCAAGCTGATAAAGAGCATACTGTGTGTGTGTGTAATATATAATATAATATATTAACCGATATATAACTGATTACGCTTGAGGACATATTTTAATCAGTTCTAAAGCATTATATTTGTATAGATCTATTTATTATACGTGTACAGAGAAATAGACTTTCTTTAAACTCAATTCTAAAAAATATATAAAACTTGCGTCGATAATATATACTTTTAATAGATAGATATATTTCAGAAAGAGAGAAATGTGTACAAAAAGGCACAAATGTATAATTCGTAACAAAAGATTAAATAGAATAAAATTATTTATGCTAAGTGTGATAAGATGTATTTTTATTTTATTTTTTTGTTTTAAAACAAATACTTCTGCCTGTAAATATTCTGCATTTGCTGCACCATCATTTATATTAACTTATTATTATACAAATGTTTATTGTTCATTAATATCTATCGGCCGATTGGTTATATGACCGATTACAAAAGATCTAAATTATGTTCCGCATATATTAGGAACAATGGCTCTCTCTCGATGTTACAAAATGGAGATAATATTTAGCTAGTTACATCGTGATATAAATACCAGGCAGATGTCCATTACTCAGAGGTAATTAATGCGACATACGCGAAGCAGCTGTTGCATATAACCGGACCTAAACGACTTCCCCCCAAATGTTGACAATTAATTACCGACACTCCGGTAGCGATAACGATAATTACTCGCGATAATCATAGCCTTGCCCGACGACGTAGTGATTTCCCTTCGCTCTTCTCGCCAACGAAATCGTCCCTCGATCGTATCTCGCTTGCCGATGTAATTAAACGGAGCTTTCAAATATCGTACAATTTCAACTTTTTTCTCCAACAAAAAAAGTTTGGCAGGCCGTAAATTAAAAAAAAATTGGAAACTGCGTAGACGCGCGCGGCTATAGAGTAATACAATCCTGTTACAAAACTATTTTTCGTTGTGAATAAAAAAAAGTGACGTTAAAAGAAGGCAAACGTTCTTTTAACGTCAGAACAATTGTTTGAATATGTTCTATTATATTCGAGAGTGTTAAAAAAATGATGAAAAGAGTCAAATAAAAAATTTTTTTTAACACTGATATAACACATAAGCACGTTGTTGTACCACTATATAAATTGATTGCTTCTTCTTTATTGAATGTAGAATCATTTTTATTCAAGTGAAAAACTCTCCGTCATATGTTATATTTCTGTCATAAACATTTATTTGAGCGAACACGTATAATTTTTACACAACTGTTGATTTTCTCTCGTAAGAAATTACTTGCCGTGAAACAGAAAAATATAAACGACATTTAATACAAAACTGGTATGTTGTTTACTATGGCAAAAAACAAAACAATAAAACGACTCGCGCGTATATACAATGTACATACGTAAGAGAATTATTATTAATATTTATGTTCCGTCGCGCGACAGCTGTAAAGTTGACGTGGAGCCAGGCGCTAAAATATTTAAAACACTTAATGACTATAAACTCTAATTAACCGCCTTACAGCTACGGCATATTCGGCCAGACGCTACCGGGTGACCGAATTAACAGCTATATCGGCAAACGGACAACAGGTGTCACATGAATTTAGTTGGCAAATCCTCCGACGCTCGCTCGATTTAACTCCGAATATATTCTTCGTTTTCTTTTTTTTTTTTTCTAGAGGTGAGAAGCGGATTCCCCAAGTAGTTCGAAGTCCCACGCGCTTGTCTCGACATTTAACTTGCCGAGAGATATAATTGTAATTAACCGGAGTGTCACCTTATACGGAACATTACGCGTTGCAATATGCAATAAATTTAAAAAAGAAAGAAAAATGTATATTTAATTATCTATGTGAAAACTAAACATCTCAATTGTATAATCGTCGTTGGAATAATTAATGGTTTCTAGCATCAGTGATTTTATGAGAATAATATACATGTACGATTTAGATGTATAAAATCGTTGCCGAAATTATGCAATATCTAGGAAACTTTGATACGCCGAAACCGGATGCTGCGCCTGTGATACTATACTTACCAACGTCGAATCCGTTTGCGGCATCGCCCTGCGGGGCCAACGGGAAGCGATAGTGGTGCTCGTTCGCCTCCAAATGCCGGATACAGCCCTTAAATCCGGTCCTCACCGGAAGTCGCTCCAAACCGGTCGTGTTTCCGGGTCCGCCAACGAAGAGCGGCTCGCGGAACGTAATTCTCGAAAACAATCCCTGGAATTGAGAAGCCAGAATTCTCTAGTTACACGTGTGCAGCTGTAGCGTAACATGCTGGACTGGCAGCGCATTTGTGGCCGCCTGATTAATGCATGAAGATTGCTTCTTCTTTATTGAATGTAGAATCATTTTTATCCAAGTGAAAAACTCTCCGTCATATGTTATATTTCTGTCATAAACATTTATTTGAGCGAACACGTATAATTTTTACACAACTGTTGATTTTCTCTCGTAAGAAATTACTTGCCGTGAAACAGAAAAATATAAACGACATTTAATACAAAACTGGTATGTTGTTTACTATGGCAAAAAACAAAACAATAAAACGACTCGCGCGTATATACAATGTACATACGTAAGAGAATTATTATTAATATTTATGTTCCGTCGCGCGACAGCTGTAAAGTTGACGTGGAGCCAGGCGCTAAAATATTTAAAACACTTAATGACTATAAACTCTAATTAACCGCCTTACAGCTACGGCATATTCGGCCAGACGCTACCGGGTGACCGAATTAACAGCTATATCGGCAAACGGACAACAGGTGTCACATGAATTTAGTTGGCAAATCCTCCGACGCTCGCTCGATTTAACTCCGAATATATTCTTCGTTTTCTTTTTTTTTTTTTCTAGAGGTGAGAAGCGGATTCCCCAAGTAGTTCGAAGTCCCACGCGCTTGTCTCGACATTTAACTTGCCGAGAGATATAATTGTAATTAACCGGAGTGTCACCTTATACGGAACATTACGCGTTGCAATATGCAATAAATTTAAAAAAGAAAGAAAAATGTATATTTAATTATCTATGTGAAAACTAAACATCTCAATTGTATAATCGTCGTTGGAATAATTAATGGTTTCTAGCATCAGTGATTTTATGAGAATAATATACATGTACGCGATTTAGATGTATAAAATCGTTGCCGAAATTATGCAATATCTAGGAAACTTTGATACGCCGAAACCGGATGCTGCGCCTGTGATACTATACTTACCAACGTCGAATCCGTTTGCGGCATCGCCCTGCGGGGCCAACGGGAAGCGATAGTGGTGCTCGTTCGCCTCCAAATGCCGGATACAGCCCTTAAATCCGGTCCTCACCGGAAGTCGCTCCAAACCGGTCGTGTTTCCGGGTCCGCCAACGAAGAGCGGCTCGCGGAACGTAATTCTCGAAAACAATCCCTGGAATTGAGAAGCCAGAATTCTCTAGTTACACGTGTGCAGCTGTAGCGTAACATGCTGGACTGGCAGCGCATTTGTGGCCGCCTGATTAATGCATGAAATACACTTGGCATATAACGTCCAACGTTGGCCATTTTTTTTTTTTGTATTTTTCTAAGTCGACGATAACATAGCGATATATATATATTACGTATGAAAAATATTTTTACAAAAGTTACGATAACTCTAGATAAAAAAATAAAAGTCGAATAGAGTACGAGTAGAATTCCCCTTTTTTCTCAAGACTTTATTTTAAAAAAAAATTAATTTATGTTCTATCGCATTTAATTCTGATATAATAATACAATATCTTAAAATAAAGATATCTCTGCGTAGCGAATTTGTTGAGAATTCTCTAATCAAATAACTATGCTGTGAATCAAGCTAGTCGCGAAGCGAACAAATGAAAAAGCCGGCGGCTACAATGCAGCGTAGTTATTGCGGAAGAAGCACGATAAGGACGATGTAAAATAGGAAATTCCTCCATGTCTTTTAAAATCCGTGCTATTTTCGCGTCGCGCATTTTTCACATTTCTCATCTCGGGACGTATCGGACGACAAACTATGTCCATTGTCAGCCAATATACCTAACGTCGTTTTCGTGCATTTTGTATTCGAGCGCGCGCGATCGTAGGTTTCCTTTCGTGGAAATTCCTCAAATCAAACAAGAAGATCGCGCACGGTCACGAAGGCGTTGCTAACCAGTTTCACTTTAGTTTTTTGCTTTCTTTTTCAAAGTGAAGAGAATGTGGCAAGGAAAAGGAGAGGGAGATAAAGAAACAGAGAGAGAGAGAGAGGGGGGGAGGGAGATAGCTGGAGAGAACAGAAAATAGTGGAGAGGTCAGGGGTGGCTTCTCTAATTACGACGCTGTCGTTAGGACACCAAGTGCTTAATGGCACTCTAGGATAAAGTGGGCTTGAAACGCGAAGCCATTTGCCGGCGATGCTGCCCGATTTTAAAGGTAATTAAACCTAACCCGGGAAAAACAGATGGGTTGAGAACCAGCCGATAATTCCTCGTTATCATACCGCTATCCTGAACGCCCGTGAGACTCGTTGAAGAAAGAGGATCGGCGAAAAAAGTAGATGAGGCATTTATCGACTTGCTCTCTTGATATTCAGTATCCTCGCTGTTGATTGCTGAGCTCAAAATTAGCTCGATTATATATTTCTTTTATCGTATTTACATATTTACATATTTACGTTACAATATTTTAGAAGAATTTTATTATTTTTCAATCTATTGAAAATAGATATCTAAAAAAATTAGTCGACATTTTTTTTTTGTACGACACTTGACTTTTAAAAGAAAATTAACTTCGAGATTTGGAAAATTAATAACATATTTATGTTTTTTAAAAAAAACTTGGAGCACGAGAGATCATTTTCTTTCGGTTACACTACATTTCCCAACTCACTCTATGACATTCGTTCTTACTTATAAAGATATATTATTTATAAGTATATTATAAAGAAGTATGTTATCAGTGTTAATCTAAGAACTTTGCAAATTAGTGATCTAGTTCTTTATAAGTATCTCTGAAAGACTATCCGTTATCATCAATGTGTAAAAAGGTACCGTAAGTTTCGCTTACACTTCTGATCCTTCGTTCTGGCGCTGCATCTCATTTGCAAAATAACAAGGCAAACGAGCGTCGTAGTGTCGCGAGAAAACGATGCAAACCAAATTAAGAAAAAAGAGCAAAATATGCGCATAATACAAGTGCCGCGAATACGATTAAAACAAGGAGCGAGCTAGTTAACAATAAGATTCACGAATTTGTTTGCAAAACGACTACAGCAACCTCGTCTCACACGTCAAAGAACATTATACGGCGTTTGCATCAGAAAGGAGTTGCATTATCTTGTGGTACACTGATGCATTCTAAATTAAACCGCCGACTCTTAATTAAGCTCGATTTTGTCAGAATTTTTGTTAAAAATGTGGAGGTTTGTAATCGAAGAATAAATCTAAATATATCGAAAAAATTAAATTGTTAATTGTGTATAGACGATTCGTGAAATTGAGTATATTAATTAGCACAGCGATTAAATTGATTCTGACATAAATATTATAAAAAATCTTAATAAATCTTAAAAAATCTTATCAAAAATATTTGCAAAAATCAATTAATGTATTATATTGTATGATATCGTTAAACTAGTATGCAAATGCAAAAAAAAAATATATTTTTTTTTTTAATTTAAAAAACTTTAAAATGATCGTGTCTCTGTTGATTTATATTGCAGTCCTTAATATATTTCGATGCAGAAATAAAAAAAGCATTTTCGCAACTATTAAAGTTATCCTTTTACTACGCGAATTTTGAATCACGCTATCTTGATGAAGTTCGAACGAGCACGAGGTCAATCGATTGAATCGGATTAATATGGGAAAGAGCGAAATCGATTACGTGGCCGGAAGTACCTTATTCAGACAAGTTTTACGGGCAATGGCACTTTTTTTTGATTAGATTGATCGAAGAAGGTGCGGTCTCGTTCCAGGGTGTGGTTCTCCGCTTTTAACCTCCGCCATCTGTCTCGATATATCTCACCGTTCGTACTCTTTTAGCTTCTTACGTCACTACTACTACCACGTTCTCCAGATATTTCACCAGATATTCTATTTCCTCGTGATTATTTTTGCACGAAAGATTTCTTTATTAATGCACTTTTAATAACATATTCTTCCACAGATTTGTCGCTTTTTTTTTTCAAAAATGTCATAATTTATTGCAACTTCCCGATTTTTTTACATATGTACTTATAGCTAAGCTCTAAATTTTACTTATTACTTTTAATTCTTAAAGTCTACTTGAAATTATCCCCAAAAAATTGAAATTTTTTTCAAATTGATATTAAAATTATATGAATGCTCTAAAAAAAGTGAAAATTGCAACCCCTTTTCAAAGTACGCTGTTCGTATCTTATCTCTTGTGATATCTAGGGCAGCGAAAATATGAAGAACTTCTCATGCGGAGCATTTTGTAGCTTTTACAGCAAAATGAGAATTTTCAAGAAAGTCAAAGTTTTGTTGCGGTAACATTGTATAACGCGTTTTAGCACATATCGATATAACCCACGACGAAGTTTCGTCTTTGCGCGCAAAATAAAAAAGAAAAGATGGTCAAAAATTTTGCGCAACCTATATGGAATACTTCGAAAAGAAGTTTCACAATGTAAGAACGTTTCTTCAATTCCCGGACTACATTCTCTCATTAAAGTTTCCGGAAAGTTTCCGTGAGATACAACAGCGTTTAATGCTGGTTCCATCTCAGCGCTATTAAACTTTTTGGAAGTGAATCTCTCGCGTCGAATGGAAACAATTTTATTTTACTACAGTTGGTCGTAAGCATTAATGGCATTCGAATCAAAATGATGACCATTATTTGCATACGACGCTGTCTGCATTATTTGCATTTTTTTTTAATCTGCAGCTTTTACGGATCACAGCTTTGTCCATTTTTGATAATTGTCTAATTCATTGTACATATATTTTCCTTCTATTTAGATATCACCTTAACAAAACGGACGTTTCAAATCAAGCTTCACTTAGAAAAATGAGATGCTTATTTATCGCTACGAACTACATTATTTACCCCACGGATTATCGCGATCAAATGAGTTCGATTTCTCATTGTGCCGTTACATAAAACACGATCGGCAAGTCTCGAGGAAAGCGCGCGAATGTTGCCGTGAAAATCTCGAGAATTCGAATAAACTCACTGGTAATCTCGATAATATACGTTCCGCTTCGCTGCGGAATATCGAGCGCCTCATTGAATTTGCGGTATATATATATATACACATTCCATATATATATGTATACACGGACAAATAATATCCAGCATCTGGCCTTGATGGAAATAAAATGAAGTGCCCTCACCTTCGATCGTCCCTCCACCCTCTTCTCCTGATTCAGTTGGATCCAGGCGTCCCATCGATGTCTGTAGACACTCAGAGTGTTCCACTCATTCAGCTTCACCGTTTCCGTGCTCCTGACCGTACCCACACCGCTGCCGCAGTCGAACCTTAGCCGCAGAAAATACAAGGACGATGTTAATCGATTGGGAATGTCAGGCACGTCGCGAAATATCAGGCATTGTCGAAGCAAAATTCATAACAATGTTTTTTCGATACATTGCCGAAGGCAATAGAGTTTAATCGCAATAAAACGAAAAAGAAGGAGAATTCGTGCAATTAAGTTACAAATCTTCGTATTTTTGCGGATGTGATTGTGAAAAAAAAGTTTATTTCAAATATGTTGAAAAATGAATATTTGTTCTGCTGCGATATTTCTTGTTCTTTTTCTGTTTTTATGTAAACACAATTTGTATGTAGAAAAGATTACAGAAAAACCAATTTTATCTGCTTTAATTAATTTGCTACATGCAATGATAAATAGCTCTCTCCCTCTCTCTCTCTCTCTTTCTCTCTCTCTCTCTCTTTCTTAATATCGTAATGGACGGTACATCCTTGTACGTTAATGATGAGAAAGAATATGGCTGGCATTTAATAATGTCTACGATCGATAAGACATTACTGGTATCGTTGCCAATGCAATCAATATGGAAATCATTGTCGACATCCGGTAATCCATTCGCGATCATCACGAAAGTAATCCGCTGATATGTCAGCGCACAGTAATGCTCTTCGTTCAGTTAATAGAACAACAAATCCACATGACTAATCATTTAGTGTTGGATTAATGAATTGTGGAAACGAATCTGGGAAACAATGGACGACTATCAGCTGGTATTAATGAATAAATTATGCGACGCGTTTGATAAATGTGCCTATGAATATCATATTGGATCTATGATTCGAATTCTTATTATCCTGATCGCATCGCTATATTTCAGTAGATGTTATCACGAAAATCCATTTTCGATGTATATTTCTTTCCATTTTTTAATAGTTACTTGTCATTTTTGTAGAACATCTATCTCGTTATTTATCTCATATTTGTATTCAGAAAACTTATATTTATACGATAATTAAGCACATATTTTAGTTAAATAGAAAAATTTTTTGAAATTTTTAATAATTCTTAGTACCCTCCATAACAAAATTACAACATAGATATGTTTATTTAACTCTTCAATCAGTTTAAAGCCCGATGTTTAGTAAAACATATTTTTTTGTAATAAAATACAAACTTCGCCCTTTGACCTTTCGATACCTTTCCTTTTTCTCGACGTAAAAAATATAAATTGATTTTTATATATTGGAATCTCTCGAGACTTATGCGACGATTTGTGTTACAAAAAATAGCGCGATGATTGAATGGGGTTTAAAAGATATTTAATTCTTCTCAGTGCACTATTATATATACCATAATATCGATATTACAAACGTCCCATGGTGGTGTAACACTTCACAACGCGTACTTTTACAGGCGCGAAACTTTACGTAGTGCGTTATAAAATAAATCCTATGACGTCGTTTTCACGGCGAAAAAGTTTTTCCGTCGACGGGCTGGCGCAAAAGGCCGTAAAAAAGGTGGTGCGGGGCAGGATCAGAGTATATTGCAAGGGGTAAACTTTCAGTTTTTGCGCAGCGCCCATAAATCGTACCTACGCGGTCTCTATTAAGTTACGGCTTATTAAGCTGTAAACGAAAAATTAGTCCCGGCATGGAATGCTTAATTAATGACCACGTCAAACTCACGGCGAAGTCTCCGAAATTATGACGCCGAAGTGTTCTATAAAATGTCTCCCGTGTAACTTTATATTCAATACCCCGCCTGTTTCTTTGGCGTAAAAAAAAAAAAAAAACACCAAACCAATATTTTTTTGTAATAAAATACAAACTTCGCCCTTTGACCTTTCGATACCTTTCCTTTTTCTCGACGTAAAAAATATAAATTGATTTTTATATATTGGAATCTCTCGAGACTTATGCGACGATTTGTGTTACAAAAAATAGCGCGATGATTGAATGGGGTTTAAAAGATATTTAATTCTTCTCAGTGCACTATTATATATACCATAATATCGATATTACAAACGTCCCATGGTGGTGTAACACTTCACAACGCGTACTTTTACAGGCGCGAAACTTTACGTAGTGCGTTATAAAATAAATCCTATGACGTCGTTTTCACGGCGAAAAAGTTTTTCCGTCGACGGGCTGGCGCAAAAGGCCGTAAAAAAGGTGGTGCGGGGCAGGATCAGAGTATATTGCAAGGGGTAAACTTTCAGTTTTTGCGCAGCGCCCATAAATCGTACCTACGCGGTCTCTATTAAGTTACGGCTTATTAAGCTGTAAACGAAAAATTAGTCCCGGCATGGAATGCTTAATTAATGACCACGTCAAACTCACGGCGAAGTCTCCGAAATTATGACGCCGAAGTGTTCTATAAAATGTCTCCCGTGTAACTTTATATTCAATACCCCGCCTGTTTCTTTGGCTAAAAAAAAAAAAAAAAAATCGACGAACCTCGTTCTCGAAACTATTTAAAGAGTTTGCGCTCGTAAGATCCTCATTGCACCTCGCCGATGTTTACGACAATCTTCTCACTTAATATTTTTTAATTAATACTCTGATCTAACTCTCGCCTTGTTCATCAATTCAATACTTTCAGAGAGTTTGTTATCCGTATCTCTTTTATGATACATATTAATTTCATCAATGCATATTTCTTTATAAATATTAATCAAATATCCTTTTTTTGCATGCACTTGTTCAAATAAACATTTTAATGTAAATATCAACTCAATCACTCGAATCTCTCGAAACGTTCGATAATACATAAATCGAACTCACCATCGTTAAATCGGTAATTAATAGTATTAATAATGAAAGTAAATAATGCAAGTACCTGAATTCGATAAAGCCGTGATGAAGTATCAAAGCCATAAAATCGCCTTGAAGATCGTCCCGTTCTCCCGCCAATAGGAGTACCCCATCCCACGCTTCGGGCCGAAATTCCAGCTCCAATTGCACGTGTTTGTAAGCGGCTCTTAAGGCGGGAAAAGCCAGCCAGCCTGATCCAGTGAAACGCGGCGATCTCACTTCAGCCTCTGAAACGCAACATTACCTAAGGATCTTTTCACTGACTCAACGGAATTTGTTTGAACTTTGTTAATTTGTTTTCGGTTTAAATTAGCAACGATATATTTACAGTATCGACTAATTTGCAGAGATAAGCAAAAATTTATGAATCAACTTTTACGATAATTGTGAATAAAAAATTCGATATGTGTTGAAAAAAATACATACCATTCGTAGATTTTATAAAACGAATTCGAAAATTCTCCTCTTTATCAGAACTTTATCACATTTTGCTATATCTTTATGAAAATATGCGAGTAAAAATAATATCATCTTGATTCCTTTTATAAAAATATATTTTTATGTATCTTGCTTTCATGATATATTTTTATTAGAATTATTTTTCATAAAAATTCTATTAAAATATATATGCACGGATATAATACAAAAAAAAATGTATTAACTATTATATATCTATATAGACAAAATATAAAATAGTAACAAGTTTGAGAATTTCCAATACATTTATGGTGCATCAGCATATTAAAATTCGCCAAAGATATCGTTTTTCGTGGCACTATTAGAAAAGCGCCACTTTAATATATACATTTTTTAAAACGTATCACGAAATAATCTCGAGAGAAACGTGCAATTTGTAGTTGAGAGACGTGCGAATGGTTAGCATGCCGGTACCGTCGACCACTTTCGGAGGATATATATCGACTGTGAAGGGAAAAGAGCGGAAAATCGAGAATTCCGGCCGCATGCGAGGCTTATACGGAATGTCCCTTCACTACCACGATCTACAACCTCGTATCAATCACGTGAGTGTACCGCAGGGTGTACCCGTAAGAGGACGACCCTCCCGAGCTCGCGGAACACGTGAGTGTAAGGGTGACGATAAATCAGGCTGGACCAGAAGAATAGAAAAAGTTGCACCCGTGGGGCCTGGAAATGGAATTCCAGTTCTTGATAGCGCCAGGAATCCTCGACACTATCGTGTAACAAAGCGCCGTTCAACCGCCGGATCGTACACGCAATTACAAATCGGTGATATCGAAAAGACATGGGAAATTTATCGGACATTGACATGTTGCAACCGTGCGAGGAAATAGCTCCGATCGATTGGTTTATTACGCCGTAAAATCGATTTTGACCCAGCACACATTGATTCATCTTGCTAGACTATTTGTTATTATACGAAATTGTAGCATATTATAATTTATGTATAACTACCCGAAAAAGACTGGACTTATATAATTACATAAAATCATATTTAATTAAATCTGAAAAACTTTTGGTGCGATATATGATCTGGCTAAATATAATTAAATCCGAAATTTAACGCGATATGATTATATAAAGATAAGATTATATCGCGCCAAATTTCGGATATTATATATATGATCATATAAAATTATACAAATGTTATCAGATCTTTTCATATAACTAATATGTATATTTACATCTAACCATATTATATCATTTTTCTCGGCTATTTGCCTTTTAAAATTTTAATAACGGTGCGTTAAAAAATTTAAAAAAATTTTCCAATCATTATTAATCGCAATAAATTTAAAATCTCAATTTAATTTTAATTAATTATGATATAAATATAATTAACTACAATTTAATTTATTATATTCAATTTTAAATAAAATTTTATAATTGTATAAATTATATCTATAAATAAAAATAGATATAATATAATAATTTTCAACTATTTAATTTTATCACACATACATGAATAGCTGAGCTGAATGCTAATATACAGTAATTAAATGAAATATAATTGTAATTAGGGAATTTAATAAAATTCATGTGTTCACTATAAAATATAGTAAAGTCTCCAACACACACCATTGACAAATATTAATATTCCATAAATTGCTATATTCGCAGTTGAATAACCGAGTTGCAAGACTATATATTCCTTGCAGTAGAACAAGTACATCGCAAGCGGACCGTAGATTCAACTCTCATAGTAGAGTAAGTAAATTATAGCCGGACCCCATATATTTCTTCCTACGAATAT